CCTTGTTCACGCGTAACCGTCAAATCGTCAACATATTTCAATCTATCATGCAAGAAAACATACCCATGGTATCATAAGTATATAGTAAAACAGTACAGGTCCTAGTTTTGTACCCTGTGGGACACCTAACCACCTGTCACTAGGTATTGAGATATCACAGAATTTTCACATTGATTATGCGTTCTAAAGGGGGGGGGGTGTTGTTGTCAAGTCGTGGGTTTTGTCGGTAACCGCCTGAACTGGTACCGACCTGTATGTTTGCAGTATGTGGGTTCTCAGATGAAACAATTCTGCGGGCTGGAGAAAACAATTGTTCAATATGGGCTCCGCGTTTACACTCCTGTTCTTAGATGTCTTGTTCGAAGGTGCCAAAGAATTCATACGAATTTTACGGAATTAATACGCATTTAACGAAATGCATACGATCCATTACCAGAATTAGAAACATACAAATTTTACGAAATACATACAAAATTAGTAAGGATCGTATGTTTCCAAGTAATGGATCGTATGTATTCCGTAAAATTCGTATGTTTCTGGTAATGGATCGTATGTACGTATTCCGTAAAATTCGTATGTTCCTGTTAATGGATCGTATGTATTCCGTAAAATTCGTATGTTTCTGGTAATGGATCGTACGTATTCCTAAAATCCATATGGATTCCGTAAAATTCGTATGAATTCTTTGGCAACCCTGTTGTTGTTGGGCTTCAGATCTTTGATCATTGTGTCACCGATAATCACAGTTTTTCCAGGTGCCTTGGACTGGTAGAATCTTTGCTCTTGTCGAAAGTAATTATGTAGGAAAGGTTTTTCCTTGCTGTCTCCTTTTCTTCTCCAAACAGTGACCTATGACCTGACCAATGACATGATTTGTTGACGTCTGTCACCATAGTGACTGGTGTTGGGTTACATAATGTTGCAATTTCATGGTCTGCTCTGCTCCTGTTACCATATACTAGTAGTACAATGTATTTGAATGTGTTTGAGTATGAATTAAAATAGCAGACCATGTACATGCATTTGCTTTGAAAATGTTACATCTCGTTTTTTTCCTGCGTTTCAGGTCTTGAACTACGGCCTGGGAGGATTCTACGAGCCACACGTGGACTACTTCAGGGTATCTTTTGATTTCTGCTTTTGAAAAATGTTTCTTACCTTATTGAAGAATGACCTAATCGATGAAATACCCGTCTGTATTTTTTATGGTCAATTCTATTGGATAGATGAATAATAAACGTTGATTATGTTGTTGATTTATTTGATATGGATGTATGGAGGCCTACAGAATAAAATATAGCTGCTTTTGACAATGACTTTATTAGCAAAAAGCCGACTTACATAGTTGAGTCTGAAGCACCATGCTAATTTACATCTGACATCTTTGAAATCAATCACAATATTAACAAGGGTGGTGTTTAAAAAACACACCGGCGACGTATTTTAATAATATAATTATTACCTTCGCCAAGAAGGTTATGTTTTCAGAGGCGTTCGTGTATGTGTGTGTGTGTCTGTGTGTCTGTAAACACGATAACTTGAGAAGGCCTTGATGGATTGTCTTGATATTTGGTAGGTGGGTAGGTCTTGATGAGACCTCAAAATGATTAGATTTGGGGCCCCCTAGCGGCTTGTTATGGTACTGCAGCTAAACTTCCGGTTTTCATATCTCATGATCTAGACATGTTAGGGTGACGAAATTTAGATGGTAGGTAGCTCTTGTGCTGGGGAAGAAGTGATGTGAGTTTAGACCCCCTAGCGGCTTGCTCTGGAACTGCAGGGCTATATGTTTGAAAGTATTCAAAAGAGGATAACTCAAGAACCGGTTGATAGATAGTCGTTATTGTTGGTATGTAGGTAGCTTACGTGATGCTTGATATAATTATGTGATGTGCATAATTTATGGGGAAATTCTATAAATCAGCTGCATTCCATGATAGGACTATTGAAGCTCGTGAAATTAGAGAAATACAGGCAGATATTGATTATGTAAACGAAGACCTAATTTGCATAATTAATTTTATAATTATGTAATGATAAGTGCCTGGAATTTCATACTTGTGGTATTTGAAAGATAATTGAAGGTGAACACTTATCTTTATCTTATGAAAACATAATGTATTCAAATTAGGACCTCATTTGCATAATTTATTAGGAAATGCTAGAATGGCATTGTTTGTTAATATAAGACTGTACATTGCGAATATGATAAATTGATATCCATGAAAATGAGAATGGAAATAAGCACCCTATTTGTTAAATCAGGGGGAATAATCTATAATTTGTCAGTCATAAAGATTAACATCATTTGGCGAAGGTATGAGATCGGGGACCTCTAGTTATATTATAGTATAAATTTGTAACCCTTTTGATATACCTTGTTTAAAAGGATTTTTTCTTATAACGGATTGTTGTTTTAGTACTACTAGTATGTCAAAATGTGTGTGCTTTTAACACCGTATTGTATGTAGGAAGTTGTATTGTTTGTTTTTGAGGGTGCTAATATGATGCATGCATCAACGACTGATGAAATGTGCACCCTGAGCTGTAACTCACATTCGTATGGATTTATGTTTGATTATTTAGGAAGTACGTGAGTAAGGTATAGTTATTAGAAAAGAATGGTATCTGACGCAAGTATTACCAAATAAGGATGAGCTTTTTAATAGGTATTGCCATATGTAATAGACACGCTACGTGTACACTCAGTGGGTCTCCACCAGAAAGCAGACCGGGCGCTCGTCCAAGGTTCCCCGGGTATCTGGCGTCTCCATATTCCACCTAACATGTCTGACTTTCCTCAGCGCCTTCACAAATTCACGGAGGCGCTGAAGGGACTTGTGCAGAACTACACCAAGGTCACAGTATGGGACCACAGACGTCTGTGGAGACGCAACCCAAATTGCAAACTACTTTGCGCCTGACGGCCTACACTTGTCCGATCTGGGAAACATCCAGTATTACAAAAGTGTCCGCGGGGCTTTAGACCGCCACACGCTCCTACACAGCGTCCTATTAAAGAACATACGCCCTATTGAATATGCGTGTGTGAGTCTTTTGTGCAATACATTATACAGCCGCATGATGGCTTCTGGCGCCTGGGTTCGTCACACAGACGATCCTGGGAAGGAGATCATGCTGGGCGAGGCAGACTGTCCGGGGAACGAGTTAATTATTGACGGGCCAATGCCCAAACTCCCTCCGTGGCTAAGTTCCTTTTCGTGACTAACTCCCTTCTGAGGGAACGGTAACGAACAAGCGTCGAATTTAAAGGCACTCTATGTAGTTTTTTTGCGCAAAAAATTGAAATATTCTAATTATACTAAATTTCGGTGTTATTAGCAGTTACTATCACTTTTCAACACATTTGTGTCATTATTTCACATTTTTTACGTATATTTTGTCCGCTCAAACAGTCCTTCTTCAGTTCCCGGTGCCACCGGTTTGCTCAGAACAACAACAACAACATACAGGGGTTGCCCCCTGGGGTGGCTAATTGGCCCGGGCATGCCAGGCTTGATAGACAGGGGCAGATGTCACAAGATACACCCTCCTTAGAAAAAACTAATATCTTTCACATGAGGTGGAATATAATTATCAACTTAGAGTATTTTGTTGGGCATGAATAAACTATGGTCATTATCCCTTCAAAAGAGATAAAAAATCTGGTAAACGATTAGGTATTTCAGAAACTGGTAAGCTATCAACTGACACCCCACTGGGATGTAGGTCAAACCACTGGGAGTGGACAATACCATATGTGTGGTTTGGCCAGAGGTTGAATAGAAGATCATTCACAGTTTTCTAAGCTTCTAAGGAGCAAGGATGTTGTATTTTTTTGCCGTGGAGTATAATTTTGGAATACTAATGGGTTAAGCCAATGTACTATGTAAAGAAAAGAATAAAAAATATACTTTTTGTATTGTCAAAAAACTACATAGAGTGACTTTAAACAGATTTTTCACTCGTCTGTTGTCGGAGTGTACGAACTAAAACAAACTTTGTGAGATTACGGACATCATCACAAAAACTTTGTCCATTCTTGTGGTTATTTTCAGGCACGTGCTCCCATGCATAACGCCGCAACCAGGATTTTTCAAACTAGTACGGAATTAGGGGTAGGTCGGAATTAAGGCACCCCCTCAGGATCTAAGTATTTATCTCTGTTTATCGAGAGATGCTGTTTTCCCTAGCGTCGCCAAAGAAAGGTACTTCGTATAGGTCCGTTTCAAATAGTGTATTACCACTGTGACAACATTTTATACCCCAAAATAGGAATCTTGCGTCTTGTTTAGACCCGCTACGGTAGAAATAACGCAGTGCCAGATCGCCGCCGTGTATATATATCCTTGACGTTACGTACTAGCGAGCGCGCACGAAAATACCACCAGAGTAGAGTAGGTTATCACAACCCTTTAGAAAGACACAAAGAAAACAAAAACGACAGATTTGCATTAAGAAAGGGAAATTTATGCCGGACTTGGCCGGACACGAAAGCCGATCCTCGCCCGCTAGGTTTACGTTGACCAGTGCACTACGTGCACGGGGAATTCCCGGTTTGTACCACACGGGGTCTCCTTGTTTGTATCGCACGGGCCACGCTCAAACTTTTCTGGAATTGACCAATCAGAGCTCGTTAAAACCATTTGCTCTCTTCACGCGTCCTTTTCCACAAGCAGGACGCTCATTTACATGCTCATTTAGCCAATGACTGGTGAGAGCAGTCAGCGTCAGGATTCAGTCGACACCAGGACCCCAGGTTAGTAACACACACTCTGTATTAGCTCTCTGTAGTTCATATTCCTTGTAGGTTCCACTCCAGTAACTTAGATCCGAAACTAGACCACTGTAACTCTAAGACTAGACCATTGACTTTGTATATATACAGCAGATCACAATACAGCAACCCGTACAATCGAAATCGACCCGGCTCTGTGTTTTACTTGGTTAACTAGCAAATCAGATAGACGCGTAATTTGACGTAAGTAAAGTTAGACCAAGAACTAAACCGTTACAGAGATCCCCGAAATACTACACTGATTCCTCCTAAATTCTACACTGGTTCCCATACCGGATTGTACGTCAAGTTGTTGTCCTGTGAACGCTGCTGTAATTGCTAGAATTTTCGTTAAAAGTTGCCACACACTTCATATAGTTCGTAGCTTTGACCATCTGCTAAGCGTCCCCACGTGTTCCGCATTTTCGGCTAGCTTTCTCGGCCTGTTTTCCAAACTTTGCTAAGTTTATAGTTCACTTTGTCCGGCTGATTTTGTGGCGCTTTTGGCGTTATTGCTTTTCCCGTACCCCAACTTTTTCGGATAGAACGTTTTTCTCCGGTTAGAAAAGCCGAGTTTCAGTTTCTGAGAATCCCTATCTAAGCGTCACTTCACGGGTGGTCCTTTGTTTGTGTCGCATCTTGCATTCCTGTGCCATCTTGTCCCAGTTACCCCTGTGGTGTAACGGTCGCCCCTCACTGGTCATTTCCTGCCCTTCTGTGGCTGTATTGTTTCTGAAAGCTGGTTTTCCCTTTTTGATGCGCTTTCCCATGCTTTCTTGTGTTTTTATTGCCCCGTCTAGCCCCGTTCTTTTGTGCCCTAGTATTTTTTCTCTCCGCTAAATTTGCTCTTTCCTGTTCGGCTATTTTTTTCCTAATCCTCCTGCCTGGCCTTTTTGTTAGTCTGTCCTTCACTATGGCCCCAAAAGTTGACTTTGCCTTTGGTTTTGGAACATCATATCCCGTCTCGATTCGTTTGTGGAAAATAAAGTCGAGCCAGTACGGCCAGGGGGCGAGTTGTTAGCAGACATTCCCGCGATGATAATGAAGACCTTTATTGTACATTTGTGTTCTACAGAACTAAGTACAGGTCGCATGGGTACAGAACATGAACATAAACATATACATTACATACAAAGGAACATATAAGAGCGTAAATAAATGTCTAATTTCTATTCTTTTCGGCTTCATCTCGCTTAGTAGTGATTGTATGGATATATGCGGCTGTGAGATTACTTAGCGTAGGTTTATCAAAAGTTAAAAGGAATACAAATTTCTCTTTACTAGTCAAATATCTGAAGTGGGAAAATATACTTAATACATGGCTAAAAAATATGAGTCTATCTCTACTATACAAGGGGCAATCTATGGTGAAATGTATTTCATCTTCTATTTGGCCTAAACTACAGAATTGACAGGTTCTTTGTTCTAGAGGAGTGCGGTTATGTCTTCCTGATTCAATTCGTAATTTGTGACAACTGATTCTTAGTTTTGTAATGGAGGACCTGTGACGTATGTTCGCTAAGTTGAGATATTTTTTCTTATCTTTTCTTATCTATATTTTTCTTTCCTATAATGACAGTTGACACGATTCTAATCACCGCTGTTTCCCTACAGTTGCCCAGGCCGGTGGGCGTGGAGATACGTAGCCCCTTTGCCTTCTCCCAACCAGGGATACAGACATAAAAAGGTGAGTTCATACGTACTTTTATCCATAATTCTACAGGGTGTGGATGTTTGGTAACGTCGGCCAGTTTTGGCTAAGTTAATTTATGAAGCGCGGAAGGACTGCTACTTATGCAGTTCACAGCTGTCATGTCAAGTGTACTTTTGACGCACATTCTATATCAGCCTGGTCTTCAACTGTTTTCTACGTTTCGATGACTTGTTTAGGAAATGTACACCTTGATTTGAAGAAATACATTCAAACCGCTACCATTTGCTGTGACGTTCGCACCACGATATGTTTTGGCCGAGATCTTTATGAGGCGCGGTGAGAGGCATATTACTGTTGATT